AATTTTGTTTCTTTTGAAAATAATCACCGATGGATTATTAGGTAGTTCCCAAAATCTGAGGTCGAGAATTTTTTTCCTGAATAAGTTGTTTGCCCAAGGGAATAAATGCACAGTGTGCTCCAACTGGAGCACAGTACACGTGCTCCTCACTAAAATGTTGCCTCAAGGATTAGATGCCCAGTGATTAGGCAAAATCTTGAGATATATACTTGAGATTAGTGGGATGTGTTGAATATTCAGACATGAGTTTGAGGACTTCTTTTTTAAGTCTTCCCCTATACATTATTGAGGGCCAGCATTTTGTCTCCTTGTGATAAATGGAATCAAATGACTTGGAAAAAATTAACTCGTTAAATTGAAACCTGTGTTTCTTTTGGGTTAACTTCTGAGTGAAATTATAAAGGGACTCTAGGCTTCTAGGAAGCTGAAACTTCCAAATTGGAACATAGACAAAGGGGTAACTTTGATATATTTTGAGCTGGTGTGACCACAAGGATAACATTTTGCATCTCAATTCCACACGGTTTGTCTTGTCACATGACAAGAGTGGTTCCCATGAAATTGAGTAATTGTGGAGGAAGGAGAAGGTCACAAGTTTGAAACTTTATGAAATTGAAGGGAAGCATCTTTGTTCTCATGACAAATCCACTTAAATCAACTCTCTTGATGACTCTATTCTAGATGTGATTGGTCGATTATCTCTCTTGCAGCGAGCGATATAACAACGTAATTTGCAACAAGTTTTTCGCCAAGCTTTTCTGGATGTTCTCTGATTTGGCTGGGATTGGTATTTTTAATGAAACTACCCTTCAACAACTTGGCTTATTTTATAGGAAAAGTGTCTCGAGTAAGACAATTTATCTTTGGTACAGAAAGGTCACATTTGCTAGTGGCGATTGCATTTAAAATCGAACCTTCGGGTATGTGACATTGACAAGTCTCATGATTCAAAAGGAAATTTATTGATCTTTGCAACACTTCAGAAAGCTTTAGGATCTGACATCTGATAGTCTAGAGTAATTATCACCTATTTGTACAAAAGGAAATTGATCTTGTAGTATGTAATCCTTATTTTTATTTCTTATCAACTATTGTTGTATCTTGATGCTAAACATTTTGATGGAGATATCCCTATCAGCATTTCTGACCATACATCTCATGCGGCCAAGAGGCCTAACTGGGCCGCATGACAGTGCTTGTTGTAGCTTGGCTCGGTAAGCTTGAAATATTTTCGCTTGTGCCATGGTTAGCATTGGTCTGACCCAAAAGGTTTTTATATACATATTATTTGTTAAATATGCATTTGGGAGAACTTAATGACCAATAAGATGAAAGAAAGTAGTCTCAAAGTGGATTGGCCATGTGCAGTGTAGACTATAGTTAGCAAATCGGCGACTAATCGCTGAACTTTTCAAAAAATTGGCGATTTTTTGGAAAACGTTCTAAACGCATATTTTTTGAAAAGTTAGGCAAAAAATCACGATTTTTTCAAAACTCCGTTAAAAACGTGTTTTTTATAAGGAATGAAAAAAAGGGGACAAAAATAAGCTATTTTTTTACTTGTAATTTTTTTTTAGAATGAGAAACAATTTTTTTTCTAATATGGGTAATTTCTAAAAGAACATATTATTTCCACAAAAAAAATCCGAAAATAAAATTTTTTATCCCCAATAGATATATGTATTGTTAGGATCTAAGGTTTATTATTTTAGGGTTTATGCTATGCTCTTCTTCTTCACAGCCACATTTTCAAAGGGTAGGTATAATTTTTTTTCCTTTTTCTTGTTAACTTCAACATTTTGCAGATTTCAATAGTTATTGTGCAAAAAAAATATTATTAAATCATTATGTAAAAGAAATTATTGTGCAAATAAACAGTATCTTACCATTAGTTCTAAGGCTGTTATCTTACCATTTTTTATTATTTTTTTATCGGTTTTTTGTTTAACAATTAGTTGTGCAGATTTTTATTTTAACGAAAACTTTGAATGGTTTTTTTTGAACCATTAGTTGTGCAGATTAGTTTGTTTTTTTTTTTTTCAACGGAAATCATTGTGCAGATTTGTTTTTTGAACCATTATTTCTAAGCCTGTAACCATGGTTCAATTTTTTTTTGAACCATTACTTGTGCAGTTTTTTTTTTGAAAGGAAATTTTGAACGGTTTTTTTTTAACCATTAGTTGTGCAGGTTAGTTTTTTTTTTATTTTTTGAATGGAAATTATTGTGCAGAATTTTATTTGAACCATTAGTTCTAAACCTGTAACAGAAGTCGTGCAGATATTTTTTTGAACCGTTAGTTTTTTTTAACCATTTCCAAGCCAAGAACCAGTAGTTTCAGGGGAAGATAAGGATTACCTCATAAAACCCCAGACCTTCACTCCCTCTCTAGACACCTCTCAATGCCCTATTCTCCTCAAAAACTATGACCGCCTCAATGTGAGAACAGGCCATTACACCCCAATCCCCTCTGGTTTTTCTCCATTGAAGCGGCCATTAGAAGATAAAATTTGAAGGCGCGCCTTAACACCTTATACAAACTACACCGTATAAATACGAGAGAATCTCTTTTTATGTGTACGTACAACCTAAAGAGATTCGATCTTTTAATGAAGAGAGAATTTCATTTTCTAGTGAGATTTCATAGAATATGTGTTCAATTAAAATTTTAATGGATATTATCATCAATGTTGTTAGATTCGCTTTTGGGTCTTCTTTAGTTTGATAAGAAAAATAAAGCAATTTGGCGCTTCAGCCAATTCGGAGAAAGACTTCGGATTTATTTAAATTTAATATAAATAAATTAAATATTTATATATACAAATTAAAAATTTCAAATTTTCAAAAAAATAAAAGAATACTTCTATATAGTATTTCTTTGCTTGGGCCGAAGACGGTGAAGCTTGGACCAAATCTGCCTGAATCTGACCGAAGCAGCACGAATCTGATCGAAATGACAGTACTAATATAATAAATAATGAAAAATTAAAATTTAAAATTAATATATATATATATATATATATAATATTTATATGACAATGTTATTCCAATTTATCAATTTTATTTTCTCTTAGCTTCCTATTCTTTTCCAAGATATAAAAAATTACAGAAACCACAAGTTCAAAAGGAAAAAGAAAAATAAAGAAATAATCAAGGTCAACTATTATGCTCTGTAATTTCTCATTATTCCAACAATCTCAATTCTATGTCCACAAATTTCAGAAAAAATATCTTATTTTTCCATGAATGCTTTTAACAGTGGCTCATATGTCCACAAATTTCAGAAAAAATACCTTATTTTTCCATGAATGCTTTTAACAGTGGCTCATTTGGTTTGCTAAACTGGAAGCCCTAAACCAATTCTTGGGATGCTCGTAAGAAGCGCATGGTACGTTAAGGCAGGGCTTGCCAAAATCATTTGGACTTCTACGTATCCATCAAAATTTGAAAGCAAAATATAACAGAAATGGTTGGTGTTAAGTCCAATGGAAAATTATATATAAGAGATGCAATGCATACAAATTTAACTTTGATTACTATTTTTGCAATGCTGGCGGAAATAGGGGTGGCAATGGACCCGAACCCAAGGGGTAGACCCGATCCAGGTATGAGTATGGGTTCAAAAATTAGAGGTCGAGTCGGGGTCCAAATCTTGGATCCGAATACAATTTGGGCATGGATATGGGTCCGGGTACAAGTCTGGTAATTTATTTGGGTCCTAATATATGAAATATATTTAAATATAATTAACTATATAAATATTTTAACTTTGGGTCGAGTCCAGTCGGGTCTAGATCTCACATACTATGTTTCATATCCAACCTATTGTCACCTGTAGGTGGAAAGCCTTTATGTTTTGGGAGTTGGGAGATCATTTATCTTTCGTAAAAAGAGGCCACAATTATTTCTAACCTGAGACGTTAAATTATATGAGTGTGTGGTGAAGTTTGAGAATTTTCTTTTTGAACTGTAAGTCTAATTGATGACACACTTGTAATCATAGGATTTAAAATTCAAATGACAATAATGATTATGATCTCTTTGTACTAAATATAAACAGTATCTTTATACACCATTCCTTACGTTTTTCTACATCTGTATAAATATTTGTCCTCATCCAAGAAAGATACGAATTTTGATTAGGCCTAGGACAGGCTTTCAATTTGGTCCAGGTTCAAATAAATTGGGCCAGATTAGGGCTAGCATTCGCTTGCCCCAAAAATATTAAAATTATATATTTTTTTTCATATTTATATAAGGACCAGCATTACCTGGTGTGGCCCAATTTTTCGGGCTGGACCGGTCTCGAACCTTGCTATCATGGACTAAGGTCGAGTTTTTAGGAGGTCGGACCTACGTTGCATAGCTTTGAGCTAGGCTGGGGCTAGAGGCTGGCCCAACCTAAAACGTGGCACATAGAATTTCAATATAACAAATTACGTAACGTATATAGGATATTATTATGATTATTAATTCAACAATTGTAATATTTATTACTTATAAAAAAAAATTAATATTAAATAATTATTCTTATGTTATTAGAATAGATTAATATGAGCTATCCAAAAAATAGATTAATATTATTTAGTTAAATTTATAATAGTACAGCATAATTATTTTATTTATGAATAACAAAATTATATTTAATATTTTTTATAAGAAGTGAATTGTTATGTTATTACAATAGTCAAAGTAAGATTATTATTATTCGTATATATATATTCTCATGAGGTAAAAAAAAAACTGTAAAATTAAAAAATTAATGTGGAATATATCTTTATAATATTATCATTAATAAAGACAAGCTTTTTTTATTTTGAAGTTTTATTAACCATTGATTTAAAATATAAAGCTGAGATTAAATGACTTAAGCGGTGACAAACGGGGGTACGGGCGCAACCGATACCACTATCTAAAGCCCGTACAAGAGAGAGGATTCGGGGCACGGGCTAAACCGGTAACCCTATCAAATGGACCGTACCAGAGAGAAGAAGGGTTAACCATGTCCCATGTTACAGATGGAGCGCTGTCGAGAAAAGGGGAAGCAGAGAGAGAGAGAGAGAGAGAGAGAGTGCTGTAGAAAAGGGGAAGCCGAGAGAAAGAGAAAGCGCGGGAGAAGAAGGGGAAGCCATTGATCAAGAAAAAAAAGTGCAGAGAAGAGGAGATAACCAACAAACTAGAGAAGAAGGTAGAGTCTATAAGATATAGATTTTAAGCTCTCCTCATATTGTATACTCATTCATGGCCTCTCACAAAAGGGGATTTTGCTGACATAAATCAGGTAGGTTTTGGGATTGTATTTCTTTTCATATAAAGTTGTATTGAGTTTCTTATTTTTGTTTATTTTCAATGCACGAAAAATATATTTTTGAGAATGTTTTTGGATTGGGCCTAAAGACTTCAGGATCATTGCCCAACCTTCTTTCTTAGGTCAGCTCCTTTCTGGTTTTTGTGAGGGATTAAACCCTAAAATTTTTATGTTTGTATTGTAGATTGCTCGTTGTTCAGTGCTGGTTCTCTGCTATTCCTTTATTCAGCTTAAAATTTGGTAATGGTCTTTCGGGGTTCTGATTTTTTTTTGTTTTGAATAGAAGTTCAATCTGATTGAGCTAAGAGAGAGTGAGAGAGAGAGAGAGAGAGAGAGAGAGAGAGAGAGTAGTATTTAGTTTAGTTTAGTTTAGTAGTTAGTTTAGTTTAGTTTTACTTTTTACGTTTTACGTTTACGGGTACGGGTAAGGTAAAGTTAAATTAAGTTAAGGTAGGT